TTAAAGATAGAATGATAAAATTTAAGTATATTATATATAAAAGGTATATCTTTAATTCTATTCAATAAATAGGGGGGGTCAAGCTTAAATAAATTTTAAGAAAACTCAAAAAAAACTTTTTAAAAATAATTTTAGCCGGCAAATTTGTCTGCTAGACGGTTTAAGGGATAAACATACTGTAGACTATATGCACAATGTACTCTATGTGCACATAGTTAGGATTTTATTAATAAGTTTGGTGCACTATGTAGCTAAAAATCTTGTAAATTTCATGTACATTTTTAGCTAAAAACATGTGAAAATTTTCAAAAACATGTACTCTGAGCACATTGTGTATATAAATTTTATATACTGGTTTACGCCTTTTGAGTAATACTATTTGGGCTATGTAATGCCCCAGAAACTTTCCAGCGCACAATGAATAATATTTTGAGTAAATATTTAGATCAATTTGTCAAGGTTTACTTGGATGATATTATAGTTTACTCAAACACTTACTTCGAACACCTAGGCCATCTAGGGAAGTGTTTGCTAAAATTAAAACCGCTGGATTAAAACTTAACTTAGAAAAATGTGAATTGTTTCAGCATAATATCCAATTCTTAGAACATGTGGTAGAGCAAGGCAAGATTAAGCCAGACCTAGCAAAAATTGAGAAGGTAGAAGAATTTCTCACCTCAACTAATCTCAAGCAACTTCGAGGATTTATTGGCCTCGCACCCTACTACAGGTGCTTTATCTACAAATTCACTACCATTGCCAAACCTCTACATAAACTGTTAGAGAAAGAAGTAAAGTATGAATGAAGAGAAACTCAAGAAAAAGCATTCCAAATGCTAAAGACTCACTTAGTGATAGTCCCAGTTTTAAGGTATCTAGACTTTTCAAAAACCTTCTATTTCTATACAGATACTTCCAAAGTTGGACTTGGTGCTGTACTAACACAATGAAATGATGAAAAAAAGGAATACGTAATTGCATATGCCAATAAGAGCTTGACTAGACCTGAAAGAAACTAGGCATCTACCGAATTGGAGTGCTATGTTGTTATTTGGGCTATAGAGCACTTTCATCATTACTTTGGCTATAACCCATTTATACTCGTAACTGACCATGCTGTATTAAAATGGCTACAAACTACAGAGTCTAAAAGGTGTAGAGCTCAGTGGATCCTATAATCACAGCTTTATAATTTTATTATAACACATAGAGCTGGGTGAAAACATCAAAATGTGGATATGCTATCCCAAATAATAGAAGCTAAACTACTAGACATGGAGCAAAAAGCAGCTAATATGAAGACTGCTAAAGATGGACTTAGCTTAGAAACCCAGGAAACTATTGAAGAAGTTGAAGTCTTTCAAGCTATAGCTCAAGAATATTTTCTTGAAGAATTTGATAAAGAAATGGAGAAAATAAGATAGGACAATAGCAATAAATAGGAATAGGAAATTACAAACTATCTAGAACAAGAACAGCTACATGAAGAATTCTTACAACAATTAAGGCAAAAATTTGGAAGAAAAATAACTTGAAGTTCTCTTAATATGTATGAGGAAAGTAGTGAACCCAAAAGTGAAAATAATAAACCAGAAAACATGAACATTAATGAAGTTTACCTACTCGATGCTTCCTTATAGAATAATATTATACAGGGTTCTACCTTCGAAGAAGAATTGGATAGTGATAATGAAAGTTATAAAGACACCAAGTATGGATACTATAATACTCATCTAGGCCATGACTATTGTTGGTGAAACACTAGTAAAGAAGAAATAGAATTTGATACCAATTTCAACTCTGAAGATTGGGAACAGTTCCAATCCCTGACTAATTCTGTTTCTAATATGTAGAAAGAATAGGAGTATTATGATTCACAACAGAAATTGTTAATATTCATCTTACAAAGAATTAATTAAGAAAAATAGAACTTATACACTTAATAAGATAAGTCAATTATTAATAATATTTATATATATTAGTATCATTTATAGTTATATGAGTTCATGGACTAGAATGTCCCTGAGATTGTGTGATTATACACAAAGGAAAAAATATTAAAAAAAAAACAAACAGACCTGATGCTAGAATGAAGATAGTCAGGATGGAATAGGACGATTTGTGGGGACCTATTCAAAGAAAAACTATTACCATATAAAAAGAATGTCTAAATGATAGTGTTAAACAACAACAAAAAGAATATTACATTGAGAAAGCCATTAATCAATATGCTAAAGAAAAATGTGATATATTATTAACTCAAACAAAACATGGCACAACAACTCAACCTCACCAAAGAAGAAATTCAAGAATATTAATTGTTAATGATAACAATTAGATATTGTCATTAAAATAGAATTGGAGTTGAAAAGACTGAACATTGATGAAACTGGGAAATTAGAAATTATTAACTTAAACTAAAAGCTACCAGAAATTTGGTAAATACTATCAAGAGAACTGAAAAATAATGAAGTTAAACAACTTTGAAAAGGATTTTTAATTACAAAACACAAAGCTTAAGAGAGAAATAATTGAAAGAAGAAATCTTTCTGAAAAGGTGAAAAGGTGTACTTATTGGAAAATGACTCAAAGCACTTGAAAACCTGATATTAAACTTAATTCAAACCAGATTATCAGTATCCTGGTATTAAGGCATTAAAATAAAACAACAACGATATATAATATTGAAAAACTACATACTATATAAACAATACTCGTTGAATTTTTTCTAGAATTAACAAAAACAATTGAAGGTTCAGAGCTTGTTTTACACAGTAAAAGAAGTCCAACTATATAAAAAAGATCATTGATAATGAAACAAACTGCTAAAAGTTATGCAAGAACACAAATTAGAACCTATTTATAACCCAAACCCATGACTATCCCACAGGAGTTTATTTGGGAACAGAGATAATATTTAATAAAATTCGAGACCATTATTATTAGCAAAAATATATAGTGATATAAGGCAGTATGTTAATACCTGTACACGTTGTCAACTACAAATAGGAAAGAAATCAAAAGAAGAGTTACACCCATACCAGTAGGGATGCCTTTTCACAGAATAGATATCAATATAGTTAGACCACTTTCAATAACACTATATACAAACCATTATATTGTAGTGGCCACTGACTATATGATGAAATGGCCAGAAGTACACGCTATTCCAAAGGATACAGTCAAAAAGGTGGCAAAGTTTATCTATGAAGACACCATATGCCACCATAGATGCCCAATATACTTCTTATCAGATAGATAGCCCTACTTTCAAAATAGGCTTATAGATAACTTACTTGCATCTTTACAAATAAAGTATCAATACTCAAGCCCCTACCACCTGCAAACCAATAGACTTGTTGAAAGATTCAACAAGTCATTATGCATCTCAATTGCAAAGCTAATTGAAAATGCCACTGAATGGGACTTATTTATTCTATTGATATTATTCATATTAAGGACTGCAAAGCATAGTACCACTCTGCAAACGCTGTTTTTCCTTTTGTATAGTAGGACTACTAAACAGTCTATCTATCCTAGTGAATTAGACAATTTGTTAAATGAAACAATCATTCAAAGAATGTACCAAATAAAAAATAATCTATCTATGGCCAAATCACAAGCCTTAGATTGCATTAAAGCCTAGAAAAACAAACAAAAAGAAGATCATGATTGACATATTAAAGCCACCCCGATTTTAAAATTAGAGACAAAGTATTTGCTTATGATGTGAGGAGAATGGGAACCCATAGCTATAAGTTAATACCACTATGGAAGGGCCCATATTATATATATAACATACCGTATATTGCCGAAAATAAGCCACCTCCGAAAATAAGCTACCCCCTTTTTTCTTGGAGAAGAAACATAGGAAAATTTGTAATTCCGAAAATAAGCTACCCCTTAAAATCCGGAAGTAGTTTCTATATATAAAAGGCAAAATTCTATTAAGTTAATCGATGAATGTCACTTAATAGGAGTTGTTCAGGACGTAAAAATACATATATCCTGAACGTTTAAAGCAAATCGAAGAACTTTTTACTAAGATGTTTTTGCATTTTACGCTCAAACGTAAAATGCAAAACATCTTAGTAAAAGTTCTCCGATTTGCTTCAAACTTTCAGGATACGTGTATTTTTACGTTCTGAACAACTTCTATTAAGTGACTTGCATCGATTAATTTAATAGAATTTTGTCTTTTATATATAGAAACTACTTCCGGATTTTAAGGAAATAATAAAAATCAACCTTTTCGAAACTTTACCCGAAAATAAGCTACCCCATGATTTTTGTGTCACTTTTTTGGCCAAAAAAGGTAGCTTATTTTCGGAAACCTACGGTAGTACCTACAAGCTACACGATTGAGAAGACTGAGTGTTAGTAAATTACATAAACAAAAGATTGTTAAAGGTTTATCATGAGAGATATATAAAATAGAAGGAAGAATAATTAGTAAATCTATAGTTCAAAAGAACTTTTTATCAAAAAAATAAATGACCACAGACATAGCACATATTAAGGAAGACCTCTTAGCTATAGAATCCATTAGTGAATTTCCCAATCCTTGCCCCTATAGTGTCGACCAGAAATTAAACCCAATTATTTCTAGCCTATAATGCAATAAAGAAGGCCCAAGAAAGAGGAGATAATGCCCAAAGTCTCACTCACACATACTACTTTGGTGCCCGTTATTACTTAACAACCGATGCTGAAAAGGCAACTTTGTCAGACCAATATAAAAATTACTTTATCAAAGCTGCCACTAGGATGTATTATTTGTTCGAGCTCCATGGGGTTGAACAAATCTACAGGACTACCCACCTCATGCTTCCTATGATTGCTAAGCTAAAAACGGCAGAATTTCATTACCTCTGTCAAATTCAGCCTGTAGAACGTGCTTCCTTTAGAGAGAGAGAAATGTAAAAGGTAAAATTACCTCTTGTGGTAATGACGTACAAATAGCATAGCACAATTTTTTAATTTTTGTAAATTTTGTAACTCGGAAAAATTAGGTAAATTTTAAAAATAGTATAGATCAACTAAAGTAATGTGAGAGGTGGAATTAGAGAAGAAAAATAAATAGATAAAATTCTTTTAATTTGTAAAATTTTCTCTATGTAATTAAACAATATATAAGCAGCCTTACTTGACTTTTAATAAAAAGATAACACAGTGGAGTTTAATTTCAAAAGCTTTGAAATTTGAGTAGAAGTAGTGACTCTAAATCGCTTTTTCTTTTGTTTCTAATTTTCATATCCAAAAAGTTACTATTTATACTTACACTATTCCAATATTAGTGTAGAAGTTATTATTGAACTAGAGAGAATTAAAAAGAATATTATTCGTATTATTTCGATCTTATATATCCTTGATTACTCCATGATCCATTGTTAGAGCAAATTAGTCTAACAATTAATTGATTAATCAATGTAATTTCTAAATGACATGATATGTGAAGATCATTAGGCCCAATTGCAGCAGTCATATCGATTTTGTCACTTGTAACTTGAAATCAAGCAGTATATTCATAAAAACTATAGATATAATTAGAGTTAAATTAAGATCTTGAATATAAGAATACTCATTAGATAGGTAGAGTTACTTATACAAGTCACCAATTGCACTGCAGCAACCGCAGTAAGACCTCAGAAGCCTTGAAACTCGGACCAAGTCTCTTCACACTCCTTTTGGCCTACTACTTTGAGAGTTTTAGGAGTTTTAGAGCCTTGTTAGATAGTTTTTAGTGTGTTGGTTAGATAGTTTAGTTAGTTTTGGCCTTGTACCCGATAGATAGGCCTTTCACACTGTACATTGTAAAAGTGAGAAATGATCTAGAATCACAAAATGTGTGCAATACAGATATCAACTATTACTAAAACTAATCTAAACAATACTCTAAACTACTGAACTTTATTAACCCTAATAGTGGAAGACATGATTGAGGGTGTTATATCATGAGGCTCTACTTCGGGATCATGGGTTTAGACTACTAACTCTATGCAAATTTGACTTATCAGGAGAAGTAATACGAATAGTAGTGGTGATACATTAAATTAGTAAACACATGTATATGGTTAATGAGGTCACTACTGCGTATAAATTAATATATTGTGTATAGTATTATGAGTATAAAATTTATGCAAATGCGATGTGACTTCGGGCTTTTAAAATTACAATATCAAATCTAATTGTGACGACCTTATTAAAGCCTGATATCTAATATAGTCATTAAATAGTAAAAAGCAGTGATCATTACATTGATTTTTTTTCTCTTTTTTTAAAAAATAAATCGTTACAGTATTTTGTTTTAAAAATATGTCTATCAATGAATTAATGATATCTTAGAATAATATTAGTTCTGAAGAGGAATCTATCTCTTTTGAAAATGAAAATTTTTTTGAAAAAATAATTCTTTTAATGAAACTGATAAAGAAAAAAATTTTCTCACAAAAAATTATTCTTTTAATGAAAACTTTAAAAATTTTGATATCAATAATATATTTGAAGAGAATAGAGTTTTGTGAATTCTTTTTCTCAAGAAACTTCTAGATTTTTGCCTGAAGTAGAAAATTCAGAAATTTTTCTTACTAAATGTTTGACTCCTAAAGAAATAATTCATTCGTTAACTCCAATTGAATATCAATAGTATATCATGTTGATAGGTAGCAAAATGTGAATTTGGTATTTGCAAATGTAAATATTTTAATATAATAATTAATTTATTTATATAGCTATCATTATATTGTAATTTTTTACTAATATTTTATTTTAAATTTATTTTTTATTTAGATTCAATATTCTATGGGCAAGCTATGTAGTCAAAATCAAACAACTTGTTGCTATTGTGGTGACATTGTTGTAACAAAAAAAGATAGAACCTGCCAAGAAATTAAATTATATGAATTTGCAAATTTAGAACTTCAAAAACTGCAATATATATCTGTAGATCCAGATTCTGATTTACAATTAAAAATAAATAATGAACTGTCAATTAATAATTTAGAAAAAAATACTTTTGTATAAGTTTTATAAATTTAATTATACTACGTATAAATTATACTGTAACAGTATTTTTAATTAATAATTTTATTTATTTCGAGTATATTTGGCTACATATAAAACTAAATGCCAATTTAAAAAAAATATACTAGAACACCTGTATTAAAACATTTACATTATTTTGATAATATGTTGTCAACCTATTTATTGGTTGTTCTAATAGGCATAATCAAGAAAAATTTCACTGCTTTATTTATATTAAAGAAAATATTGATCTTGAATTACTTCAGCAACTTTTAGATTGAACTTATAGTGTAAAAATTTATTATTTTTTTATTTAATTTATATATTAAATTATTAAATATAAGGAGTTTGCTATTTACTACCACTGGTAATCATCACTGGTATTGCAATATCTAAAAAACATACTAAGTAAATGGAATTGAGTCCTCTAAGTAAAAATGTTCAGAACCCCCAAAAACCTCACAAGAACTAAAATTGGGCTCTATCGGGCCTTTATATTAGCTATATAATATATTATATAAAAAAAAGAATTCTCTAATTTCTAACCCTAACTCTAACAAATCTTAGAACTGGTAATGATCACTGCTGGTGATAAGTAGTAATTTTGTAAATATAATATATTTTTTATAATTAGGGTAAATCTAGTGAACTAGTAAATAATTGTTTTATAGTTTTACATAATAGTTCAAAAAAACCTATTGTTGTACATTATTAATATATATTTAAATATTTAAAATTATAAAATATCACAAACAGATTAGCAGAAATGAGCTTAAATGAAAGTGAAATAGAAATTCTAGAAGAGGATAAATTAACAAATACAGAAGAAAAGGCAACGCTAATATACACTAAATGTGAACATACAGATCATAGCACACAAATGACTAAAGAGTGGGTCTTATTAATTAAGAAAAAAGAGCTACACAACAAAAAAAAAGAAAAAATAGAGTTAAAATGTAAAGAAGATATATGTAGTTCTTTTTGGTTCCAAATAATAGTAAAGTGCAAAACAAGCACAATGAAGAAACTACACCAAGCCTTAACAAAGAAAAGAGAGAAATGGAATTAGAAATCACAATTTGGGACTTATCTAAATCAACAAGTGCTGCAAATATTGCGAGAAGTGTGAAATATTATGGCAGAAGTGAAATTATTGAGTGGCAAAGCAGAAAAGAATCTAGAGCAGTTTTTTTAAAGATTAGGTGCAAAAATAAAGTAGAAAAGAAAAGATTGTGAGATGCATAGACAGTATCTTTTGAAAAAGGAAAACATGCAGAGTCACAGCAGATAGATTTGACACAACCACATTAGAGAATAGAAAAGAATTCAGACTAAGAATTGAAAAGATTCCACATAGAGTATCTGAAGAGCTACTTCCCAGACAATTCAAAAGACTTAAGGCAAAAATGATCAATATACCCAAAAGTAGCTATGGCAAACAAAGAAGTATAGCTTTCATATAGTTTGCTTCATTAGAAGACTTACTAAAAGCTAAGTCAGCACTTCAAAATACTTCGAGGATATACTGGAATGGGGTAAAGATAGATATTATAATTTAGTAGAGTGTTCTAGAAATAAAGAGAATGAATATAGAACTAATCTAGAAATATAAGTGAAAATAGGCATAGCTTGTACTCAAAGTACCAAAATAGATATCATAACCAAAAGTGTAAAGAAAGAAAGCCAAACAGTAACTTAAAGCGAGACAGTAGAAAGAATAGTATCTCTAGATTATGCAGTATCACAAAAAAACTACTTAAAAGAGGTGGCAATATAATTACAGGCATGCAAAAACATCAAGAAGTTATAGTAGCATCTGGTTCAAATAGAGAAGAACTAGATAAAAAAAAGAAAAAGCAAGTTAATCTAGAAAAAAAAAAAGAAATTGAAAAATTTTTAGCAGAAATAAAAGAAAGATTTAAAATAATAGAGAACCTGATTGTTCAATGCTCCTAAAATTCATTACAGTTGAATTAAAGAAAAGGTGTAAGGCAAAACCCCTCACTGCTACCTTACAAGAACCTAACAAACTAAAACAAAGTGAGGAAAAAATAGAAGATATCAGCTTTGAGTCACTTAAGATAGGATTTTACAATATTAATAGGCTTAAATTAAACAAACAAAAATTACTAGCACTAGCAGAAGTGGGTAAAAAGAAAGGTTTGGATATTATTGATATCGCAGAAATTAATATAGTCGAAAAAGAAGAAAAATAGATAGAAACAAATTAACAGAGATATATTAGTTTTTGGTCTACTAGAGAAGAAAATAAAAATAAGGGATCTGAAGTCAGAGTGCTAGTAAATAAGAAGTAGTTAAAGCATTTAGGCAAGATAGTCAAATATAGCTCATATGTTCTCAAAATAGAGTTTTTCTTCAGAAAAGTAGTAATACAAGTCTGGATAACTTACCTACTACCATCAGGCAAGAAAATTAATAGAGAAACCCAATGTATAATAATAAGAGAGATTTGTACTAACAAGATAAATACATATACCTGTGTGATAGGAGACTTTAATATATTAGATAGTACAGACTTAAATATAAATAACAAAAAACATAGTAGTTAGGGCTCAGTAAAACGCTTATAAAGTGGCTTAGAAACTATGACTTTATAGACATTTTCTGATACTTAAACCCACATAAAAGAGAATATATCTAGAAAAAAAATTCTAAATCAAGAATAGATTATATGAGTAGGAGAAGAAATGCAAAATATACTTAATGAAGGTATGATTAAAAATATAAATTTGGCAACTGGTAGTGATCACAAATTAGTTATAGCAAGAATAGAGACAAGTGTGATACTCAAATATGGTAACTTTCATAAAAGAAGAGGAAAGCACCCAACATGTAGAATTTTTCTTTATCAAAAAGCTACAGAAGAAAATTGAGAGGCATATAGTAAATGTGCAGAGCATAAACTTAGAAGTAGAGAAATTCTAGGTGCTAGTGAGAATACTCAGAGTAGTATAATAAAATATTAATAAAGAATGAGACATTATCAGTAATGCAATTACATAGGCAGCGCTTAAACATATACCCTAGATTAATACTAGTAAAACGGAAGCAATATATAAAGAAATCAAGTTTCTTTATTTGTTACAAAAAAAGAAATATGCTCTCAATAGAAAAAGAATAAATGACTCGGACAAAATAAGGCTTAATACACAAATTGAAAGGATAAACTATAAGTATCAAACACAAATTTTACAGCTGCCAGAATTATAGAGCTAGGTAAAAATAGAAGAATTGAAAAATTGGGGAAAAGTTCTAAGAAAAAAAGCAGAAGAAGAACGGCATATCAAAGAAAAAGAAATTCATCACAAAATTGAACAAAGATTCAATATGATGAGCAAAGAAAAGAAGAAAATACTACAAAATTTGTTAAACAAATCATGCAACAAAGTAACACTAGATAGAGTTCTCATAGAAGAAAGCTTACATTATTAGAATCAAGAACTTATTAGTGATGAATTTGAGGTCAAGCAACAAGTAAATTCACACTTTTAGAAGCAATTTAGAAAAAGATCACAAAAGTTTGAGAAGATGAATCAAGGCAAGAAAAATACAAGCCAAAAGATTAAGTAGATTTTAGCTAGTATAATAGCATAGTAGACCCTATCGATGAAGAAGATTGGTTTTAGTCTCTGCACAAAATACAAAATAAAACATCTCCTGGCCTCTCGGGAATCAGTTATATACTACTCAAAAAAGTTACACCAGAAACAACTAAAAGACTAGTGAATTTTGCAAACTTAGTATTTGAGTATAGAAAAATTCCAGAAAAATGAAGTTAGGGCAACTCTACCTAATACCAAAAGGCAGTTTTTGGGAGTATAACTTAAGTAACACAAAATCGATCGCGCTTCTAGAAACATTTAGAAAAGTCTTAACTTGAATAATACAAGTAAGACTAGATAAAGTAATTAGAGAAAATAGTATTCTAAAAGGAGCAAACTTTGCAGGAGAAAGTACAATAATCTCAATACATATTATAAACAATGTAATAGAGGAAGCTACAGAAAAAAAGAAAGAAATCTGAATCATGTATCAAGATATGAAAAAGGCCTTTGATTCTGTAAACATGATAGCACTTAAAAAAGCACTTGAAAGGCTAAAGTTTCCATCAAAGCTAGTTGGGTTCATTCTGAGTCTGTATGAAAACAGAAAAACGAGTACAATAACAGAGTATGGAAACACAGACTCTATAGAAGCAGGAGATGGAATTGATCAAGGAGAAGTTCTATCTCTCTTGGTATGGAGAATCTTTTATGACCCTTTACTATGTAAGGTGCAAAGTGCTAATCTGGGGTATGAAATGTATATAGAAAGTAATAACTTTAGAGAAAGACTTCAAGTAGGTGTTTTAGCCTATGCTGATAATACTACATAGATAGCAGGTGATCAAAAAAGCATGCAAAGGACATTAGATCTTTCAAACAAATTTTATGAACTAAATAATATTGAGATCAATCCAAAAAGACAGAACTGGTCATGCTTAAGCCAGAAAAAAAGAGAAATATCAAAGATCTCTATGTATGGATAGAAAAACCAAAGTCAAAAGTACTAGCTAACAAGTATAAAAATGCAATATAGTTTTTGGGAGTTTGGATCTTGATTAAGAACCAACAAAGCTCAGATCTAAAAAGAATGAAAAAGGATATAAACAAGTTCATTGGCTTACTAAGACACAAAAAATATCTATAAGTCAAATAGTATATATGAATAATGCTGTTCTAATACTGGCATTAGAATATAGACTTATACTTTCAGGTTTAACAAGAACCAAGTGTGACAGAATATATTAACCAATATTGTGTTTAGTGAAGTAGAATATGTTAATGCTATCTACAATAACAAACACACTACCAAAGCACCCAGAAATAATAAATTGCAAAAGCCTGTGGAATCATCATATAGAACAAAGTTTCTAATAAGGCTAAACGGAAAAGGGCTTCTAGAAGAATCGACAACAATTAAACTTAAGTAGGACAAATTGAAAGTAGGTTCCACAAAGTGTATTTTAATAAACAAATAACTCTTAGAAAAAAGAAAGTTCAAGGTTAAAAACCTAGACATGCAAATTTTGCAACAAGCAAAAATTCTAGGTTTTGACTTAAGAGAAAATAAATTTACAAAAAGCTGGAATTGATTTTGGGTCAATATCCCGAACATCGAAATCCCAATGGTACTAAATCCCGATGTACCAAATTCCAAAAGAAACAAAATCCCGAAGGGGTAATATCCCGAAAACTAAATCCTGAAGAAAAAAAATCCT